TCGTGGAAAACACAGGCAGACCCAAAGTCTTTAGTACATGCTTCTCGAACGAATGTCGGCACAGCGACTTTGATTTAGCATTGACAATCTCATTGGCCTTAGAATTCAAGAAACTATTTTACTCAAAAGAAAGAAACTGAACAAGTGTTAAATAATTAAGGAGGTTCAGAAGTTGCTTTGAATTTACGCACCTCCGTCGGCCACAGGGAGTAAAGCGCTTGTTTCGCTCTCGCTTGCATCCACAGGCGACCGCTTTGTCGCCGCATACTTCTTGGCAAGCGCCACAGCCTCAATTGTCCGTCGTACGCACGCACGAAGAGCGCGACCAAGGCTGAGAGAGGAAAATCTATCGTGGCCTGCTCATCAAGCGCTTTGGTGATGTGCCTCAGATAGGTGATCTGCCTCTTTGACTGCGGTATCACCGATTCTTCATAAGCCTCACTCCAGTCGACCCTACTAACCACGTATGGATGGTGTCTATTCTTCCATCTAGCAGCCAGACCATCGAGGCCCCGCCCCTTAAGAACCTATACATAGATACTTACACTTTTTTTAAGGGGTAATAAAGGGGCAGCCTCGCTGGTCAGAAAGATGGAAAAAAACACTATCCTCCATACCATGCTGGCGTTCGTTTCATGCAAACTTAGGTTGCGGGTGGGCGCCCTCGCATCCTCAGAAAGCTGCCTCGTAATGTACTGAAGAAGTCTTTCAGCCCAGTCCTTGGGTGTCAGTTTTTCCCTTCGTACCTGTTGTACCGCTGGTTTGCTCAACACATTAGATGAGACACCTAAGTAGCATAAGTACATTGAGACAGATCATCATGATAATCCGTGGTTCTTGAGCGACCACTTGTCGCAAGAAACGATGAACCCCCCCCATGATTTTTCCCACTTACTAGTGACCTATAATCCTACTTAGCAGGGGATCAACTACTTAGTGTAACTCAGGTCATACTATCTTTCCCACTTACAGTAGAAGAAACTATAATGGGACGAATCAACTCAGGATCAACATACTCCGCATCCACTCCCACACGGTAGATGGCAAATTACTTGACTACTATCCGTAAACACGGGTGCCGCTTTTGCTTGAGGATTTTGACATGACGATCCACGTATTGCAGCTCTTTTTGCTCGTAATCGTTCAAGCAATCCGGCTCTCGAAGATGCAACAGCCTCCTGCGGCTGCTCCTCTACAGGAGCTGCTACAGAACTTTCCGGCGCTTGAACCTGAACCATGGGCAAGTCTTCAGGCGCTGCTCCTATCATGGCGTTAATGTCTTCGTCGGACACTGGTTGTAGACCCAGATTCTCGATCTCAACCTTGTCCTTATACAACCCTTGCGCTACCGCCACATCTTTCATTTCCGCCAGCAGCCTTATCTTAGAGATTACATTCTTCAGGACATCCTTGACCCTTTTCCCGCTGCAAAACGAGTGAAGGATGGCAGCGAAGATAGCAATGCAATGTCGAAACCCTTAACTATCCTTTGCTCCTCCTGCTCCGTACTGTCCGCTACTACTCCGTCTCCGTCGATTCCACTGCTCGTCGCGACTTTGATTTTCTTCAACTTCTCTGCTCGCTCTCCTAGCGCGATGAGACGCAACAATAGCGTGTGCAGCGGCAGCGCGAAGCTGTCTTCTTTAGAGATACCGCGGGCCCATCTCTTTGGGCATCTTTGTTGGAAGGGCTAAGACTCTAGAGGTAAAAACTAACCGCTTGTTTGAACATCTTTAACCACGTAGAAAACCGCTACGAGATGCTGTAAAAGATGCCCGAGATGATGTACCCGTAATTTCTAGTAGCGGTCGATCTGGTTCCGCGAGGGCGTCTTCTGGGATCCATCGGCGAGGGCCAAACAGATCCCGCGCCGTCCTCGGCGGTCGCCAGCCGAGTGCACCCTGCGCCACGGCTCTCCTCTCTGCATCTCTGGTGCTCGATTTCGTCCAGTCACGCAACATTGAAGATGCTCTCCTGGTCGTGCTGTCATTTCCTGATATGGAAGATGCTCTGCTCGAGGACGTGTCATTTCCGCCTGGAGGTGGACCAGAAGCAGCACTACTAGAAACCGGGAATAGTTGTGGACTACTTGGGAGCCGTGGACTATTATCTGGACGACCATCCTCTACTGGACGACTCGTCCTATTGATGTCCGGATGAGTTGCACTCTCAACAACGCCTTCGCCTCGCTCTCTTGGCGGTGAACGAAATGTTGGACCCGACCCATCTTGTTCAAACTTCATACCATCTTCTTGTTCACACTCCTTGAAATGAATCGATGGCTTCCCGTCGTATCGGATTCGCGACGGGTCGTATCGGATGGCTTTTGCCCTCTCCGCAAAGAACGCCACGTCTCTGCGCAACCGCGCATCCACCGCAGCTTTCTTAATATTAGACCTACCTTCCGCAGAACCATCTTGAAACACTTAAGTATTTTGGACCCGTTTCCCCCATACACGGACCATGCTTGCTTCTGAAGAAAAAAGGAACAACCAGTAATAAGTTAGTAGTGACAGTGAAGTAAGAACATCAAAAGGGAAAGTGCCGAAAAAATTGATATATGGGAGATTTGCATTTCCGGAAGTTGTCTTCATAATCGCAGGATGATTCTCTAGCGAGTACTGCTGCAGGAATTGTTGACGCCGTGCCGCAGTCCAATACACAAGTAACCCTACGACGTCAGAGTCTAAGCGGATCTGCAACGGCTCCACGTCGTCACGCGGGATGCGCTTGACGAACTGGACCATTACCGAAAGAGAAGCATCAGACGAGGCATCAGAGGACGACTCTTTTAGTTCACTCCGAGATCCTTTACCGCTAATAATTTCTTTATTTGAGTTTGTGTTGCTGCTAGTGCCGCTACTGGTGCTGGTCTCCTCATTCGACTTTTCTTCAGGACTCTTCGTTTCCTTGCAGATGCCTGATGTCGAGGACGCGTTGCTGTTTGTCATCGTTGGTGACACTTTGGTGGCTGCATCCTCACCTTCAGCGATCCTGGTAGCTCGTTCATCCAAAGCCAGCAAGTAGTCAGCCACATCGGGTGCAATTTTCAGTAGATAGTTAGCCAGCATCACGCGTGACCATTCATGTAAGGCGACGCGGTCCCTTCCTCGCTGCTGTTTAGCGTTGCGGCCATTCCTCGTTACTTCACGCAACAGCATAGGCTCATACACTTGAGCAAAACCTGCGACATTTTTCAAGAAAAATGTGTTTCTATGAAGTTGCTCATCCTCCTTCTCCGCTGTCGCCTGCTGCTGGAGATGATTACCCTCCTCTGCTGGAAGATGATTAGCATCTTGTTGAAGATCAGCATCAAGTTCCTGGAAGAGCTGACGATCAACAGCTTCTATGCTACTCTCCGAAAAAAGACCAGGAGGAGCAGCACTTGCATTTTTGAGCTGTTCTTCTGGCCCAACACCGAGTGTAGCACCACTTTCAGTCCTTTCATGTATCAAGGAAGTTGCTTGTGATCTTGACGTAGCATCAACATCATGCGATTGCGATACTCTCCCAGTCGCAATCAGATCTGTCTCTGAAAGGTGGACGACATACGGAGCTGTGCCTGGAGGGCCTTGTTCGAATGGTCCCGATCCTACAACTTCTCGAGTTCCTACACCTTCTCGAGTTCCTACACCTTCTCGAGTTCCTACAACTTCTCGAGTTCCTACACCTTCCTGAAAATTAGGAGAACTAGATGGTGGAAAAACGACCGCCAGTGCAGTTGGAAGGACCACCACAGCTGCTGCGAAGGTGGTCCTCGCGATGAACAAAGTAGAGCGAAAGTAGACCATTCTCGTCTTCATCTTGTGACTGCTCGGTGACGGTCGTCCTCCTGCGACTTGCAGCTGACGTGGTACCCTCATCACCATGTCTTTCCCCTTCGAAAATTCGAAAAAATTGTTCACTTCTATTAGTACAGGAGACATATCACGATGTTGCAATACACATCATTCCTCAACCAGGTCTATAAGTACAAAAGAACTTCTACTAGCATATCCATATTATAAATATCTGCACAATTAATCTGAATCTACCTAGTCGTGTGAATACTTAGGTTTAGAAGTTTGTATATGTCAAACAAAAAAATTTTTCGACGCCCCTATCTGAAATATTACGACATGACGCTATTGCGGTCATACAATCTACCTTTCATTTTCATGCAATTGCAATTCATTTTTCTTTAATAACGAACTACCGAAAGTAAAACTATTTTTTTTTTGATATACAACAGCATCGATCACAACTATGGAAGTGGAGATGCTGTAGTAATTTTTGCCGGAGCCTGGAGAGAGGTTTGGGTTTGTGGGATCGACATTATAAGAAAAAGATTTGATGCGGAAAAAGAACTATCATAGCGGACTTCCCAGTAACTACAGGTGCGATATCCTCAGGGTGAAGAAAAAGATAAGGTAGCCGACCATACGCATAGTACCCAAGTAAAAGTGGTGGGTATAAAAAGAACAGGCGTAATGAATTTCGATCCGTTCAGAAACCAAATACAGCAAATGATACTAGGGAAGCATTATTGTGTCTGCTCTGAGCATCTTCTTCCTTGTGTACTTAACTGCTCAAAGCAGGTGAAGCGCAAGCGGGTGGAAAAAAAATCAAACAATAGGAGAATCAGACTCTTCAACAACGGTTTTGCATCACAGGGAAAGCTAAATCTTGTCATGTGTTGAAGATGGGCCACCGATTCGTTAGGAGGGACATCGCATTCCTCACATCAACGGACGCGCTTGCTCTTGCAGATGATGGAATGGGGATCCTTTACCTTTTTCTCATGTAGGTCACGACGAGATACAATAAGTGTTGAGGGATACAACAAGTGTAGGATAGGATAGGAGTGGGCTCACTTGTATATGCTAGATGCCACGACGAAGATGTCTTATAAATAAGCGTAGGAGCTGCAACCGAGGGACTGCTTAGGTTAGGTGTGCACCTACCAGGAAAACTGGCAGACATGAGTGGCTGCTGAAGAGCCAGTCCAAACAAGACTCGAAAGCAGAATCATCTTCATTTTCATGATGAAGCGCAGGAAGATAAGAACAGCGCACCAGCAGTTCGGAGTGGATGGGATCATACCAACTATTTGATTCTAGAGTCATCATCTCAACCTCTCGAGTGATGTTGACCCCAGATAAATCGTTTTTCGCTATGAAGAACCCAAATTTTTTGTACATTTTTTCATTCCTGTAGATTTTAACAACAGTTCGATGTAGTTCCCGGTGTTGTCTGCTTTTATTGCGCGTCTATGGCATAAAACCTTTGGTATGGTGATGCATCTCTTTTTTGTATTTGCAGAACAGCATGTTGTCGTTCAGAAGAGTAGAAGTTAGTTCAGTTTAAATCTCACAACCCGAAGCGCAAAGATTTGCATTTTCCAGCAGGCACAGTTCTTTCATGTAGTTAATACTTCTAGGCTGCATATTTCGAATCCATCGGAGTTCATTTGATAGTACAAGCATATGCGCAGATTTCTCGGTCAACCTAATGAATAATATGCAGATTGTAGTAGTTACATCAACAAGCGCAGACAACATCGTTAACTTTTACAGTACTCTAATACTAGTGAAATTTGAACACGTGGCACGAAGAACGTCTTCAGATCTATCCGCTATTTTCGTTTTGAGAACATCATCAACATCTTCAACATAGAAGAAGTAACTCAGTACAAATTATCGAAAAACTTACAAAATAAACGGCTATATATTCTTATTTCCAGTCCGCAGACCTAAGTACAAGACTTTACTTTTCAACAAACTAGCTACTCAGTTGTAGACTACTATCTTATTATATGCCAGAAGCAGCAGAAGAGTTGTAATATTGCGTGAACGTAATTTCTTTTCGACATCAAACACTAAGAATTTTAAGAATAGATTGTTCAATTGGAGGAGTTGTAGCAGTTTTCATTCGACTTCTAGAGAATTTTGAATCATTAACACAATTTCTTCTTAGCGGCAGCTCGTTCCGAAGCCCTTAAAGAATTCCGGACCCATTGTACCACGTGCAGGCTGTTGTTTTGTTTGAGGACAGAAAAAAGATTGTGATGCAGATTCTTGGAGTCCTTATAAATACTATAGGTTTGGTTTGCCTACTAGAGTAGTATCTATGTGTTGTCTTTTCAAGAGGTTGATTTTGGTCTACTACAAGACCACTTTGATGACTTTTGACAAAAACCTTCCCGCAGACAGCTTCATTTGCCCGGAAGGTAGGGAAGCGATCTGGTGCCAAGAACAGATTCAAAAATTCAAAAAAAATTGTTCTGAAAGTCTGCTCAAAAGCGATAGGATAGGATAGAGTAGGATAGGATAGAGTAGGATAGGATAGAGTAGGATAGGATAGAGTAGGATAGGATAGAGTAGGATAGGGTAGAGTAGGATAGGATAGAGTAGGATAGGATAGAGTGGGATAGGATAGAGTAGGATAGGATAGAGTAGGATAGGATAGAGTAGGATAGGGTAGAGTAGGATAGGATAGAGTAGGATAGAGTAGGATAGGATAGAGTAGGATAGGATAGAGTAGGATAGAGTAGGATAGAGTAGGATAGAGTAGGATAGAGTAGGATAGAGTAGGATAGAGTAGGATAGAGTAGAGTAGGATAAGCTACAACTTCTAAAAAGTAATACAGTATCATGGTTTCAAAAGAACCTTTGTTTTTTGCAGGAGCCACTATCGGCAGCTGCTGCCAAAACCTGAAAAATAGGCATCCTCTATCGGTAGGCCTGTGGCCTGTTGTGAGGAGGAGAGGGGAAAAATGAGCTTTGAAGCGGAGAGAACAGTGCAAAAGATCGTACAACTAATCAACATGATCTGAAAAATGATTATGATGTTTTTGACGAGGTTTGATGAGGAGGAACCTCGATGATACTTTGATTTCCAACGATCTTGGTGTATTTCTGATACTTCTTTGATGTTTGATGTGCCAGGCATGGATGTTCATCCTGTCGCGGATGGAGGACAGCGAGGATGATCTTGCCCAAGGCCGAGCAGTTTTTGCAAAACAAACTAAGGCTGCAAAAGAATGAGCATGATGATAGTGAAGGTCTGAGTGAAGTTGTCTGGCTGCAGGTCACATACACGAGTAAAGCACGATGAAGAACTATCATTATTTTATAGCGTCGCTTTCCTGGTGTAGAAATCGCCCGTCGTTTTTTCGTTTTTTTGGTAGGAAAAACTTCATACCTGCTGGACTCTTCGAAATCCTTCTAGTTCGACTAAGGTAAAGACAGGGACGATCATAGGTTCAAATCGTATCTACATCAAGCATGACAAGTAGTGCGTGACACGAAGTTGAAGTTGTACCTTGTTCATGGCTTTGATCTGCTCATGGGTGGAATAAACAACAACGTAAGTACCTTGTTCATGGCTTTGATCTGCTCATGGGTGCGCTGAGAATTACGATGCATCTCCGAGTGCACAGTATCGACGTATTGCCTACTGCGTTCCTTCTCTAGCGCAACCAGTGCCCGCCTGGTCTCCTCCGCTGCCTTGTCAAACTCTGCATCTTCCTCTTTCTGTAATGTTCCGAGGATGAAGCAACATTGAGAGGACGATATTAATGTTGGGAGAGTGTTTACGTTTCTGCAAAAATGTTGGGAGAGTGTTTCTGCATCAATGTTGGATGTTGTAAGCAGAAAATGAAACGTTGAAAACTAATACCAAGACTTTCTTCATGCTTTCCTGGAAGGCAACTTGCTGATGTTGGATATTCGCAGTTTCGAGATGCATCTCCTTAGGCATTCCCTTAAAATGATCCCTTCGGATTCTACCGTTTGCTAGTATCTGGCCATAAGGGGAAGATGTTGAGCATTGATTATATCGTCCATGAATCAACATGATGTCATCATGATACTATACCCCAAACGACCATACTAGGCCATCGGCGGGATCCTATCTTTCCTGCGGTTGTGAAGACGGCCGAAATTATGTGTTGACTCGGTTACTATTTCCTCACAGCTTTTTGAACTTAAAAAAGGTCGAAAGTAAGTTCAATGTTGAGCTTGACAATGATGATGAAACGAATACATCCGCTGAAGCGATGACAACAGAATCAGAAAGGGAGACGTACTCTACAAATATCGGTACCTGCGGTTGTGCCTCGTTGATGAAGGCATCGTTTGCGAACGCAACATTCTCACGGTAGTCAGCGATCTTTTCCTCTACTGTTCGTGAAAATCTGCTCTTTTCCGCAAACTCTTGCTTTTCCTGACAGAAAAGAGAGGAGGTTTGTAACTGAAATTGAACCTGATTGCAAGTGAAATTTTTTCAATAATGACCATAAGCATCATGTTGATAATCAGTCCAGACCAGGCCGGCCCCAACGAATAGAAAATCTATCTTATCGACACGACGAAGAAGCAAGTTGTACATGTAGTCCTAGTCGAAAAAACTCATACACAATATTATTGAGTCAAATACTTTTCTCTTCGTCTCGTTGTACTCCAAAGCTGCCGATGTAATTTCTTGTCTCAATACTTTCTCTTCTTGTTCCACCTGTGAGCGCAACGCAAGCAAGTCCTTCTGAGAACCCGCATATTCGTCTACCTGAAATGATTGGTCATCACGAATCGAAAGAGCATGACAATATTAAGTAACCCTACCTGGTCGTATTGACTTGTAATATTAAGTTAGAAGTCTAGAATACGTCTTGCTTCTCCATGTCTGCGAGAACCTTTTTCTCATACACTTGCTGCTCGATCCAATTTCGCTGTTGTGCCTGTTGTGCTCTGACTCTCTGTGCCCTTCCGGCATCTTCACCCGCAAATCTACAGGAAATTGATGGAAGGGTAGGTCGAAAGTGAAAAAATGTAATGGGTATGTAAGACGATCTCTTAGTGGTCCTAGTGAAAAAAGAAAAGAAATTATCTTATCACTTTAGCGAGATACAACCGGGCTTTAACAAGTTGGAACAACCTACTTTTAGGTCCCCACTAATTGTTTGTACTTCTTGTACACTAAACTCTTGAAGTACCTGAGCACACTTGCTGGACCCATAAGCTCCTCTGGGAGAGGTGTCTCCTTCTTCAACTCTTGTGGGTCGGACAAAGCATATTCTCGGCGATCCTCTTTTCTGCAGTAGACCTGTACTAGTTGAGAATGCAATGATGAAGTGGTTGAATTTACAAATGTGAAGTCACAGAGGACCCGGTTCTTGAGGTAACAAAATATCCAACCAGTGAGATCATTTGAAACCTCTTGTATGAAAATTCACCACGACAAAAACAGGATTTCTACTCATTCAATTGTGCCAAAAAGTCAAGCGCTGTATTTCCTATTTTTACCTTGTTGTACTCCACGACGTCTCGGGTGACCTCTACATGCATTCGCTTCCTCTCCACTTCTAAGATTTTCAGCTGGTTGTCTATGCCAACGACCGTTGCATCGACGCTGAATTGGGATGATGTTTGATGTCGGAAACAACCACACAGGACTTCTTCGACAAGTTCTACAAAACAAAAAAATCGACTTCACCACCTCATTAAGACCAGTGAAAATAAAAATTACGCTGCAGCGTATTCTTTTTCAGCATTTGCTTGTTCCTTCCTTGCCGCAACCTGTTGGTCTAGGACGTCCTTCTCAATACCAATGGTCCTCTGTTTCGCGTTCAATATCCTGTTCCGTCTCTCTGCTTCGAGTGCTCGCTTGCGGGCCACCTACTTGTTGCAGACATAGATCACAGTATTAATTTGTGAAAAAGAATTCACTCATTCGCTCATTACTCGCACAAGATCTGCGTCGGCTCCAACAAGTGGGCTAAATCTTTAGAAGTTTTGTCAATGCCATAGAGAGCAAAAAGGGAAAAACGAGGGACACAAAAGTGGAGTGATATGTACCTTGCTTGCAACCCCGGTCGGAACATACTCTAGGGCCTTCAAGTCTTCGGCTGTCGGCTCCAAAGTAGCCGCGGCCGGACTCCCGCCCTCCTCCGGCATCTTGTGTTCGTGGATCTTATCTTAAAGAAGCAAAGAACAGAAACTTCTTGTTTTTATGATTCAGAGGATGAACTATGACAGTGGTGTAAGTTCTTGTAGTACTACCCTAGTAGTTCTGCGAACACAACTCTTATAATTTTGTCTTCAAACGTATGTACAGGTAGGATGGCTTACTTACTACCCAACAAAATGTCACGTCATGTTACCTCGCTAGCTGCATGGTCAAGCAGTGATTTCTTACAATCAACAGAAAAGGGAGACGGGCGACGAGGGAAAAATCCTTACACCAAGAGATGAGAGGGAGGACCTGTATTCGTCGATGTAGGAGATGAGGAAGATAACCGAGGTGTACTTCTTCTAATAAAGTTACTTAGGTACTAGTTAGAAGTCGTGGTTGCTCGATACGTCGGTATTATATATAAGATGAGCCTAGGACTTTCTAAGATCAGTATTTCGGTGGAGTAAGAGTGTAGAAAGGACATCAGGATTGTGCGACGAGCGTGGATGTAAGTACGTTCGTACATGAAGCAAGGTCCGACAACCCTCACAAGTTTCTCTGCAGGTGCCAGCTCACAAACGATTCTACTTTCCTTTCTCCATCTCGTCTCTCTAGTAGACCTCCTCTCACCTCCATTTTTTTTTTTGGATTTATTTATTTCTCGATCGATTCCTACACGAAGATGCCAGAAAAACACCGATCATCAGAGTCTTTCTATCTCTCTTCATTTTTTAACTACGGCACGTATCGATCTCCCTCTAGTCAAACGATTGTCGTTCTCACCAAAGCAGGTCTTTCCAGTGGCTCTGATCGATGGTATAACTTAGAAGTGAATAAGTTAGTATGCTGCATTTCTCCAGCATCCACAGCAATCACACGCTCGACGATAGTTGCCGTTCTCATATTGCACAACATGGTATCCGCAGTTTTGTGTTTAAATTTATAGGAAACGACTACTTGCCTAGAATCAAGGACTCAATCTGACAGGACATCAATCTGCGTTTTCTACTACTAGGTAATGGAGGGCGAGGACGACCGTGCATCTTTGTTCTATGCATCTACACTTTCTATTCGAAACACTGGATTAAGCAGGGAACTGATCAGAATAACCGAGATACTGATGGGCAGGAAGGGTAGCCTTGATGCTAAGCTACCTCCCTTATTTCAGTCAGTAACTCGGTTACTTTGAGTTTTCGAATCCTATGACTATGTAATTGTACTCCCGTTTCTTAACAACAGGACTTGCAAATGAACAAACAAATGGGACTCACTTGCAAACTAAGAAACTGACAGACTTTTTGTGTAGTATAACTCTTCCTCTACGGATTATAGCACTGTGGAACGTGCCCTGCAGGGTAAACACCTAGGCTCATCATTTGTAAAGTCCCCAATCCACGCCGACGCCTCCCAGTGTTCGACCACGATTGCAATAGCTGCCACCAGGCATGATGCACTTCTGCGCAGCAGTGCTTCCTGCGGCTGAAGGATCCTCGCAAAAGCCTAGTAATCTCTGTGGCCCGCACAGACTCCCAACCCTTTGCGCCTCTGCATGTCGAATTTGATGGGCTTGGCCATGTCTTAGAACTACGACAACAAAGAAAAGGTGAGATACGACAGCATGATATCCACTAAATCAGGGTTCCTACAATTGATCCACGTAGTCACCAGATGGTAGTAGAGGTGGATCAAGGACTATCCTAGTTGTCGTGACGATGTCCTCTGGGTCATCTAGGGGCCATGATCTTGATTCACTCTTCTACTTTTTAGTCGCTATTCAATTCCATGCCATAACCACTGTTCGCTCAATGGCTTCGCGGATGCTGGAGCACGTCGTAGAAACCGGCAGGCACTCTTGAAGAGTTTGTAGATACCGGGATGCCCATCGTCACTCCAGCCACGGCCTCCGGATGAACTGCGCAGAGAGTGCACAGACTCCCACCACGTCCGACAATTCCGGACCTCACACTTGTCCCCTTTACCATTGCACCACGCTGAAACCTCGCTAGGCACCGGCGTCTGAAGTTTTGTTTGTGAGGATGAAGAAATTACAGTTTCTTCTAGAAGTGGGTTACGTGATTAAAATCATGCGAAAGCACTACAAAAATAAGTTCCAACGGGAGCAGCACTTATCAAAATGACAATTTTCACATTCTCATCTCCAAACCGTACTTTTATAGTTGTATCACCTCTACTCAATCTCACCTCGCTCTCTACTGTAGCTATACGTGGATCCCTGATAACACTGTTAGTAGTGCCCGTAGACTATACGTGTTTCTCATTCAAATCGCAGGCTTTTTGTAGCTCTCCCCACACGTGAAACCGGATCGGTAACTGGGCACTCCCGCCAGGTCGCAAACTTGGAAAATTCTGCATTTTGTTCACCAATTCTGCGCAAGAGTGGTCCATCTGACAAGACTTTTGCAAAACATCTACCAGCTTCTTGTACTGGAGAAGATACCTGGATGAAAAAGAGTGAGTCTCCGAAATTGGAAGAGAAGTCATACTAGTTAGTTAGTTAGTTAGTTAGTTAGTTAGTTAGTTAGTTAGTTAGTTAGTTAGTTAGTTAGTTAGTTAGTTAGTTAGTTAGTTAGTTAGTTAGTTAGTTAGTTAGTTAGTTAGTTAGTTAGTTAGTTAGTTAGTTAGTTAGTTAGTTAGTTAGTTAGTTAGTTAATTAGTTAGTTAGTTAGTTAGTCAGTCAGTTAGTTAGTTAGTTAGTTAGTTAGTTAGTTAGTTAGTTAGTTAGTTAGTTAGTTAGTTAGTTAGTTAGTTAGTTAGTTAGTTAGTTAGTCAGTCAGTCAGTCAGTTAGTTAGTTAGTTAGTCAGTCAGTCAGTCAGTCAGTTAGTTAGTTAGTTGCATCGTACAGTATTCACTCATATTGAAAATCATAATACCAAACGTAGCTTCCGCCAGGCTTCCTGGGACCGGCATAGCCGTAGGTATGCTTAGAGCTACCGCGTTAGCATCCCTGAGCGCATCCTTGGTCCCTTTGTCAAGCAGAAAAAGGGCCAAGGATAGTGCTGGGGATGCATGAGCGGTAGCCTTAATATGCATCAACTCCTGCAAGCCTTTAGACTCTGCAATCTTATAGTCACACGCCTTTCGCTCAAAACGTGCTCTCGCAGCAGCTGCGTCGTACACAGCGGAACCCAATGTTTCATGGACGCCCTCGATAGAGTCTTAGAGTGGAAGAGATGTCACGAAATCAATGTTACGTATCTCGATATCGTATTCGTGGCTCTAATGTAATCCATATTCTCAATGTAAAAATGACTTCCTATTTACTACCGGTAGACCTCCTACGCCCACCTACACCCAGGAAAAACTAAGACGCAGAGGACAATCTATAAGAAGTGAAAATCCCTTCGTAATACTTCACCGCTTCCTTTCGCTGTGCGCCCATGCAGGATTCTCCCTTTGCTAGGCAGTCTGGCAGGGGTTCATCTGCCGGCTTGTCCAGCTTCACTTCTCCAGCACAGGTTGGGCAGTACAAAAACGAGGATGCGGGTCGTGTCATTGCAGGATCTTGCTGCACACCTCGTATAATTCTCACTCTTGGTCCTCGTCCTCCTTTGGTTGTACTTCTGCGAATTATACCAGAGGACATTGCTTCGAATCCTCCTCGTCCTTGTTGGTCATGATAGTCTCGTCGAGTCGTGGGTGAGGTGACATAATTGTCGGTCGGGTGGAGAAAAGAGTTTACCCAACCGGACAGACCCCCGCTCTCGTTGTCGGGTGTCATCATGCATGTCGACTAGTGCGTGGTGCATTCGACACCCTACAAATCCTTGTCCTCACGAGTGCTGGGTCATTCTCCACGTTTAAACAAGCATAGCAAGAACCATCAATCTAAAACTTCTCAGTTTAAATTCACATTCTTGATGACAGACTGTGTGACATATCCAGCTTTATTATTACAAGGGCCCGCTGCTTTCTGGGCATGTATCCAGCTTTAGCTTTGGTATCGATGCACACGCGAACAAATCATAACGAGGACCAACATACGCGAGAAACGAAGACCGAGGAGCCTCTTAAGTCCCGTCTCTGAGATCGATCGATGATACTGCATCGATCCCGCGCAGATGGCAAGAGTGTCCACCGATCGACTCCGAGTTCGTCGATTCCCACATGAGTGCCATGTCGCGACGCGGACGGGCGGCATGCGCTTGAGTTGATAATTATTTCTTCACAATCATATAGTACAAATTTTGATGCTCGTGCCATATTATTGTGCAGCTAGTCTCGCTGGCATTTTCTTTCATATCATGCATTGGTTCTTCGAAGGTAATGAAGACCTACCCTAAACCGAATTCTTTCATCGGTAAAACATTTTACTAAACTCCCCTGTCAAATAAAATGCTCAAGCGATAATACGATAAATCAAAAAGTCAAGACGAGATGAATACACATTAATACATAGATGTTGGTAGATAGATGACGATGAGTCAATTTTCACAATCATTTGGTGTCAGGTCAACATAAATTTCAATTGTCGGTACATAGTTAGATAGATAGTCATGTTAGATAGTGTGTGCAGGAATAGATTCGTAACAATGTGCTGATGTACATGCTAATACTATATCAGTGATCCAAAATTACAGAAGAGCAGATAAGATGAGTTACATTATGATGTTAGACGTAATAGGTAATCGGCCAAGTAGATGCATGATAGTAGTGTAAATTGCAGTATATTTTTTTTCTGAAGAAGATATAGGAGCCAAAGTTTCATTTTAGCTATACATAGGTAGATAACAGGATAAGTTCAATTTATTTTCAGATGAAGTAGATAGTTGCAGTAGTTTCTTTTACACGGGAAGAAGATCAGTTGTTCCCCTTTACTTCTCATCAAACAAGTGCCCGGGAATGAAGATTAGACTTCCTAGTGAAGCCGAACTCATTCACAACGCCCTAAGAATGATTATTTTTTTTTTTTGGATTGGATTGGAATGATTCATGTATATCCTAAGAACGATAATATAACCGCTACGTGAAGCTCCGCTACGTCTTTCTAAATTGATGTTGTTCTACCTAATTCTATTTCGAGTGTGATGCCTTCGACTATTTTGATTCATCTTTGATGCGTTCCTTTCACTTGAAGAGGTCTAAGATAATTTTGCAAAGTTGAGAAAGTTCAAATGAAAGATACGTACAATCTTAATCGTTTGTTCTATACTGTACTGCTCACATCACAAAGTGCTTAGGTCTATTTTGCATTGATCGTATGCTTTCTTGTTGAAGTCATAGTTGGAAGTAGGAACTAGATCTATTACTTTTACGCGTATGCTTCTTGCTACTTATCGTTATCACTTCTTAGCATTAGTATTTCTTCTTGAATCAATATGACATTGCTTAGCAGTAAAATTTCGTATAATTTCTTTGAATATTTTAGGGAAAACTATAAATAATAATCAAGTGTGAATATTTACGGATCTCTCATCTATGTCGACACAATGACGTCACTGTCAGTGCATCATCGCAATGTACGAGTAAATACTGCTTCTCCACCTTCCGTTAATACAGTAGTTACAACTATTTCTCCACCGCCCACAACGAGCATATGAGCAGCTACGACCTCGGTTGCGAGGACGAACTACTGGAACCAGCACTAGACGAACTACTACTGGCTGAACTCTGCTGCGGCTCTCCTGGTGCACCCTGATGAAGTTGCACCTCTTGACCTTGCATGCCTGCTGCTCCAGAGGTTTGATGTAGTTCTCGTGCTGTTGCTAGTTCTTGTGCTTGCTGCTGTCCCTCCGTGTTCGCCTGCTCTACCTCTGTTCCTTCTGAGTCAGTTCTACCGAAGCCTGGTGCGGCTCTCTCCGGCGCAGTGCCTTCCTCTTCCAAGAGGGTTTGGAACTCACGACTGAGGTTCAAATCTCGAATGATCTCTCGAGCCTTGGAGAGCAGGGCTGCTCGCTCTTGTGCGACCAGGAGTTCTTCACGCCGCTTCAGCCGGCCACGTTCCTCGCTATGCGCACGCTCCAGCTCCTCACTCACGTTAGAACAAGCTGACAGTTGTACCTACAACTAGGGACGCGATCATTTTTCCTAACTCTTGATCATCTTCCAGATCGATAGGGTGCCTTTGCTAAGTCTACACGCAAAGCGCCGATAGGAGAGGATAGGGTGCCTTTGCTAAGTCTACACGCAAGGTGCCGACAAAACGTTACATAAGAATAGCCAGCAGTTCCATGCGGTCTTCCCACGTGATGCAACGGCGCAGCTGCTCAATGTTCCAGAACAACGCGTGTTTGTTAGAGCTACCGCTTCCGCATCCCTCTGGGGCCATCCCTGTCTTCTTTTTCAAGTAGAAAAATGGGCCATCATTCAGAATGACGTTATATATAAGGATGCTTTGGCGGTAGCCATAAGTTTGTCCACTTCGTTCACGTAAGCGGTCACATCGACCTCCTCATTCCACTGCACGCGACCAACGTCAGAGCTTGGAGGTCCTCCAATTGCAGGCAATGGGTGTGGGACAGCCGATTGCGCTGAAGCTGAAATTAGAGGACTCTCCTCAAATCGCTACATACTTCTTCATCACATTCTTTCGAGTGGCCTGCAGGGTGACAGAAACATCGTCCTGAAGAAACTAAGTAACCCTATTTCACTACTCGTCTAAAACCAGAATCTAAACATCATAATATCATGCTTCTCAAGGATCAGGAAGTACCTCCTATGTATGAGTCAAGACGGACTTCATCTACAAGCCTTAACATGTGAATTCCCGGTGAACCAGAGGTTGGCAGGGGCAACGCCATTTCAGGGTACGAAGATGAGCTAGAACTTGCCATTCCAGCATACGAAGACGGCAGCGCACCACCAGGTGAGATCATACTACCTTGTGACTGCAGAATCTGACTACTGACTTGTTGCCGATCCGATTCGGAAGGCGGAAGTGCGATAGGTGGAACAGGAGCTCCTGAGCCAGCAAAGTCCTCTTGACCCTGCTCATCTTCTTCGGCCATTTGTGGCAGATTAGACGAATAACTTCGTGTTGCATGCCCACGTGACATGTCCGTGCGCTTGGTGCTATCCGGCGTGTGAAATGCGAACCCGCTATCCGCTGGTGATCCGGCCGTATTATCTTCTCCTGGAGCACCACTTGTCCCTGAAGATATAAAGATGTAGTTAATATACATAGTCATAGTGTTTGTGATCATTTTTACATAACTGTTGCTGGAGGTAATCAAATGTATGAGTAGGAAATAGAGCCGGAAACCCAGTACCTATTATCTGATAATCATGTATCGAAAACTAAATGTGGCAGTTCATAATTACCGGTCTCCTGCACTTCGCCTGTGTTTTCAGTCTGAGACTGAGTCTTAGGTGGGTCTACTTCCCCCTCCGCTTTCCCTCCTCTGCCGGGTCGGGTACTAGCGCTCGTACTTGATGGCTCGATCGATAAGCCGCTAAGCTCACCCGCTTGTCCTGAGCCTGACATGAGTGCTGACGTCGACGTCGACGAAGCAGTGGCAGTTCCTTGTTGATCGCGCATCAAGCGCCGTGTGAGGTACGCGTTCAGGTTTCTGTCATCTTTCTCATGATCAGTTGGATGTGGATACACGACGCGCGGACTTCGAGGCGGGTCTACTCCTGCATTCCGCGCTGGGGCAGTACCCGCCCCCGGCGCTAGTGTTAGACCTCACCTATGTATATTCATCTTGAGCCGCATCTTTAACGTGTTTTTCCTTTCGAAAAGGGACACCCAAGATGCTTCTATCTCAAGATGACTTACAATTACTGTATAAAAGCCTTAATGGTGAAGTACCCGCTCCCGGCGCCGGCGCACCTCCAGGCGCCAGCAGCTCCCGGAAGACCGATGCTGGTGTGGCTCCTCGCATGGGCTGTGGCTGATGTCGACGCTGATGGTGCTCCGCCGTTGACCAGATGCTGCTGGTGGTCGTGTTATCCTGCGTGGTCGCGTCATGCATGGACCCCGTGATTAGAGTCGGTTTTCATTCATCTCGGTCCCCTCATCTCGACCCCTTTTTTTCCCACGACGAACACAATACAAGGGAAACAAAAGGGTATCCAACGAAACAAACAGAATACAAGATGGACGATTTAAAAGCTGACCTTAACGTGGGAGAAAACACCGTCGAGTGGAAACTCGGCGATCCGCCTCGAGCACGCGCGCTGGCGCCAGCGAACGAAGATGGTTCTGTCAGTTGCGGTGCGACCCGGGAACCGAGTTCCGTTCGTTCGTGCCCTGACAGACTCAAAGGCACGCTCTCCGTGGCCATCTTACCGCGAGTTGGCAACAAGAAGATCTTTCCACTGCTGTGGTCCTTAGAGCTGCTAGCGCATTCTTGCATCTTGAAGATGTTCCTTCATATCCTGTTCTGTTTTCACAGGTAGAAAAAGAAGATCCACACAAGTAGAAAAAGAAGATCTTGATGTTTTAAGGAACACAAGAATGGATCATGCTTAGGATATTAAGGACATGTTGGATCATGCTTAGGAAAAGGACAACATCATGTAGTTGAATGCTACATGTAGTTGGATGCTAATATGTCAATGTCTTTACTAGAACGAAGTAAGAAAGTACTTAGGACGAGCCTTAATGTCTTTGCTTTGGTTCCTTCTCCGTTCGGTCTTCTGCGTGCCTTCATTTACGGACACGGGATCCACTGGCAACGAAGTACTCGTGCTGGGGTGCGGTGGTAGCGGCACCACAATGTGCTTCATTTTGCCACCAGGTCGAGTCGGGGTCTTGCTTTAGAGCTGAAAGTAATCCATCTAAGCTCATCTTCTCTTCTAAGTATTAAGCTGCACAGAAGATTAGTAATATATTGAGCGTGTGAACTAGTTCGAAAGGAGACAAAGGGTATTAAAACGGAGAAGAATGGCTGTGAAGATGGATCATTACAATAGGGTACTAAGCCTTAAGTGGTGTTGCCCATGTTGTCCTCGTCCTCATGCTCGCAGACAAAGAGAGATGAGTCCGTCGTCGTTTCTGTAGCAGATGAAGTGATCATGGAGGCTGGGAGCCGATCCCGCCGCCGGGGTACTCCTGGGCCAGTCGACAACAACGAGCTCAGCGTTGGAGTCACCTGCGCTCCTACCGGAGGAACTCTACTAGTACCTGGGGTAATGCCTGCTACGTGCGGCTCCATCGCGAGACCCTGCGGTGGCGTTCTTGGTGCTCCCGGGGGCTGGTCCCCACGACGCGTGCCGAGACTCTTCAGGACCAGCGTACGCAAGTCTCCGGACGCCCGCTGTCTAGTATCGTCCGTATCGTCCTCTTCTCTTCCCCCTAGACTATGCTCTTCAATTCTCGCGGAGGCGCGTGGTTCCCCTCGTGGTGCGCGGACCACACCAGCTGGACTGTTCAGTCGCGCCGCCATTGGGCCGCCCTGCGGAGGAGGAAAAGCACTCGAGGAGGACGAGGACGAAGCGGCCGCTCCTCCGACTAAAGTCGTGGGTGCGATCGTCTCTCGTGGTGGCCCTGCGCCAGGGGGGTCTTTTGTTGCGATGGCTTCGCGGACATACGCTTCCCCGTAGACACTGGAGACCAGTTCCGCAACGCTCTGTGCGATGAGCAGTTCTTCCTCGTTCGTCCAGTCTCGCTTAACCGCCTGCGCACGGTTCCGCCGTCGGCCACCTGGCGAGGTTGTACCGTTCTGCGACGACGCAGACGAGTTGCTAAGGGTGCTCACGGGTGCTGCGCCTCCTGCAGCTCCAGTGGGTGCAGCTCCTCCAGGGAAAACTGCTGCAGAACTACCTCTAGCCCCTGGAGCAGGAACAGATGGAAGAGCACCAATGCCACCCCCGCCGAGAGGACCGATTCCCCCAACGCTGTCCGGGGGTGACAAAACCAATCCTCGACCTGACAAAAGCAATCCGCGAGACGAGCTTTCTCCTGGCACCTGTGGTTGATGTAAGGGTGCTGCTCGAGCGGGTTGCATCGAGGAACTTCCTGTGCCAGCGGACATTGTGCGGCTCGCCAACGCAGCCGCTGGAACCGAACGAGAGGGCGTGCTCGCATGATTAGGATTCCTCCCAGGAGAAGGACCAGTCGCGCCACTGCCGCCTGAACTTCCGGTGCCACCTGGATTTCCGGTTTTCGTTCCTATGGACCCGTGTTTCGCGAATTCGGCCACGCTGGAGGTGGTCGTCTGTCGACCTCCAGTTGACACTCGCACAGCTGCGCGTTCTGCTGCCTTAGAAGAATTCTTCAAAACAATTCCGATTCATTTCATCTAAAAATGTTGACCCTTATAGAAGTAGTTACAGAGGAAAACTTCTAGGAGGATGTGATGAGTTGAACGGATGTGAAGATAAGTTCAAGTTGCACCGAGGATAAGTTGCAAAATTATACTCACTTTACACACTCTTTCTCTTTGAAACAAACTATGACATGGACCTTGGTGGAAATGAATCAGTTATACATTAGGTATAACCTATTGTAACTCTTGCATGAGGAGGTATTTTAATAACCTCTATCGCCAAGAAGCCTTAACTTCCCTCGCTTCTTCCGCCTCCTCCTCCAGCTGCTCTGCCATGGCCACTAAGTGGTCAAATTGGAGCTCGAAGTCGAGCGCCAGCAGGATGCGGCGCTGAAGACTCTCCACCGGGTCGTGGTAGCCCGTCATGAAGAACACCTCCTCCGGCACGCTCTCGCAAAGCTCGCCCAAGGACCGCGGACCGGGGAAACCAAACTCCATGCCAAGGAGCAGCTCCATGCGCCGCAGGCCACGCAGCTCTCGTCGCAAAAACAGAGCCAAGTCTGCAACAGTCGACACAAAGACCCGCTCACCGCGATACAGAAAATCCGCACCAGCTGTTGTAGAAGTTGTGAAGTAGATTGATCTTGCGGGTGAAGGAAACGTGAAGACTACTCAACAAGCATGTACGCACAGCAAGGAACTCTAGAAGTGCTATACTTACTCTTCATCGATGGAAAATAAGCGTCGATTTAGTATATTAAATGTAAAAGCTGATGTAACTTGTTGAAAATACCGGTAGTAGCGCGCTCGGTTGAGGTTAAAGCATAGTAGGCGGTGCGGACGCATCGTAGCAGCTGCGTGTAGAAGCTTTCTGCAGTGCCCGCCGCGTGTTCTGCTAGCGCAGAGCACATGCGGGACAACACGTCTCGGCGAGAGCCAACGCCCCCAGCGGATTCGTTTCGGAGGCCCGCGAGAAAGCTCGAGAAGCGACGAGTGAGTTCTTGTTGCGCGCGCGCTCCTTGATCGGCCGGGACATTCTGGCTGCTGCTAGAGGCTTTCTGATACGCGGCCAACGCCGGTGCCAAATCGCGGAGGCGCAACATGAAGAGCCACGCAACTTGAGCATCGAAGGTTCTTGGGCCGACCGCCGCGGAGCCTGTTTTCATGCCTTCAACGTTTTCATCGTATTCAGCCAGTACTTCGTTGGTGATGGACTCCAGGCGCGCGCCCCAATCGGACACGGGCGCACACGCCTCCTGAGCGCTGCGGAGAAGCGTTGCAGCTCGCACGGTTCCCCCTGTGGTGCTGTTGTTGCTCGCGAGCAGCATTAGAGCCCTCCCCACCCTTATCCATCTTCCTCCTAGGCGCCTCTATTTCCCACCCTTGAAAAGCCTCTCTCCTACAACTAGGATCCCTTGTGGTCTAAAGATGGTGGACCATTCGCGGAAGCCATAACAACAGCAAGCTTCCCGTGGGTCGTCGCTGCTGCGTGCCGTCTGCCAGTTGGCGAAGCGTGTATGCGAAGAGCTCGGCGACCATTTCGGGTCCTTCGGCACTCCTTCGCGCAGCCTGCACCAATCTTGAGATAGCGGCAGCGTCCTCCGGTGACCGAGCAGCGCGCGATCCCGGTGAACTCGCAATATCCGATGCAAATTAGAACAATGAATCAAGATGAACGAAGTGAAAAACTTTGACCACCCTGATGAAGAACATTCACTAAGTGAGATTTCCTGCACCAAGAGTCAAAAATAATGGGAGTAAGCATGCCTCAATAAGCTTTGTAGCGGAGAGGACAGTACTCGAAATGATGAAAAGCTACATCTAGAGGTATAAGTAACCTGAGCCGCAGCGCATCCCATCATAGTACTAACTATCAAAAAAAAGTCAATGCCTAGTTGTTCCATTTCCATAAAGATTGAAAGCTCCGACAACTGCTCTCCTGTCTTCCGGGGACATCGAGCCTTCACCGCGTAGCCTTCCAATAGGACTCAGCGCGTACCCTTCTTCGAGCTCTGCGGGATCGACGCTGACACCGATACGCAACAGGAAGTCCAAGGCTGCTAGCGGTTCCTTCGATGGTGAATCCATGGACGGTGACATGCCAAAAGCGCCAAAAGCGCCCTCCACATCCTCTTTGGTGAAGGTGACCTTTTCAGGTATTCCTTGGAGAGAGAACGCATTGCGGTATTCCAGCAAACGGCTCTCCTCAAGGTTCTCTGTATAGTATTGCTGCTCGTCATCCGACCCCTCCACAATGTCTCCCGAAAGCAGAGGATCCGACGCAGCTCCCTTATTAGAGCCAGCTACTCCTGAGTACATAACCCTAAAATACATCACCTTCAGCAGCTACCATGATTACATCTTGAGATAGGAGATACAGCATGCTGATTTCTAATTTTTTCCACGTCTTCAGTTGTATGTCAACATCTTTTATTTTGAAAATCTAGTCAACTTCTAGACAATCCATCCATTGAGCAGTCGTAACTTCTTGTCGTCTACTGCGACGCTGCGTTGACGCCTTCGGCGCAACACGATTAGTACCATAGAAAAACTCCATGACGCCGTCCCAAAATCCTCCGGCTTTCTTATTAGAGCTTGAAGAGGGTGTGGAAGTTCAGATGTGGAGGTTCAGATGTGGAACTTGAGCTGTGGAAGTATTTACATTCTTTGCAATTAGCTTCCCCAATTTCGATCCGGAAGTATAGAAAAGATAGACTAGACTTCTCAAAGCCAGTCTCTATTACGACCGCTGCCCCTACATATGAACTTCTATTAAGAGAAAGAGAGAGAGAAAATCGAGCGAGCTAAGAGAGCTAGTACAGCATCTTCTACGAGGCTAGCTTTGACTGAGACATTAGACTTCACCGAATTACAAATTACAAATTTTTTCGATTTAGTTCGACGCACCAGCAGCATATCACTTCCCTATTGTCTGAATGCCTTAACATTCGTCTCATCGATGTCGGATTCTGAGTCGAAGACTTCTTCCTCGCTGCCGGACTCCATGGCCAAATCCCCTTCTTCCTACAATGAAAGTTCGTTTCGCGATGACTCATATGGGCACCGTTGCGACTCATATGGGGATTCTTGCTTTTGAGATTCTTTCTCAATTCTCAGAATAATATGGGCTTATTCATGATCTTCTGATTCATCACAAGAGTATCATTCTCAATTCGTACTAAGCAATCTAAAAAAGAACGAACAAAGTACTTAAAACATTAGATAGTGAAAACTCAACGTACTAGGTAGTTGTTGTATCATTTCTACTTTTAAACGTCGACATTCATTGGTCACTGATGCTGAAAGAAAAGGGCCCTTTACCCCTCTGCTTGTTCTCCCTCTGTTTTCCCCTGTTCTCTGAAGGGAGCCCCTTCGATTTCAGTGACCAACCTCAGTGACCAATGAAAGCTGAGCCTTAATACTTCTACGCTGCTACAACAGCACTAAGTATTTAATATATAAATATTGTTTAATCTTAACAATGGTGCGGCCTGTCCCTCACCTCGTCGGGTGCTTCTGGTTCCTTTGACCGCTGTTTTGCGTGGATCAACTTTGGTCTTGCCACCTGCCTTCGCCTTCGCTTTGCCCCTAGCTTTCGCAGCTGCACCTCCAGCTCCACCCTTTTGTGTAGCTGTAAGTCAGGTATTTTTACTTGTAAATGTGAAGAAGTCTTACGATTTCAACTATCATGATCAGCTTGTTGTAAGAACTAGCTATTAAACTATCCTGAGCTTGTTGTAAGAACTGGCTATTGAACTATCCTGAGCTTGCTCGTTGTATAACTATCAATACATATCATCACGAAGGGAAGTCCAAGTAAGGTTTACCACAAGAGAAAAACTTCTAACCGGTGCTTTTTACAACTTAAGTGCTCAATTCTCAAGGTGTGGCTTCATCATTATCCAAATTTTTGGAGTGGTCCTTGTGCAGATGAATGATCTTTTACTAACAGTCTGTGAATCAGGTGGGTAGACTGACTGACATTTTTCAAAAAAAATTACTCGTTGCACGTCCTGCTGGTCTTTTTTTAGCAGCTTCTTTGGATTTCGCAGATTGTTTCTTCGCGCCGGCAGCGCTACCTTTAGCATTGCCAGACTGCGTTGCTCGATGTGCCTGCTGCTGTTCTTAGATTTCTCACTTACAATCAATCTTCACATGAAATAGACCATCTTGTTGAGTTTCTAAAAGTACCTACAGAGCTACATTTATTTCTCCGTCATCTTCTTGATCAAGAGTGCCAGAACAGTTATTTAGGCAAGAGAGTGGTGTACTGTAAAGAGCTAAGATAGGATAGGATAGGATAGGATAGGATAGGATAGGATAGGATAGGATAGGACAGGATAGGACAGGATAGGAGTTGGCTCACCTGTGAGGGGGTGAGCGTTCGAGGCCATTGAAGAAGATGCCATAATGTTGACCGCCTTGCTGACCCCACGTCCCCCATCCTTGCTGGTTCCAGTTGTCCCATGAACCCTGGTTGCCTCCACCCCACCCTTGGGTGCCGCCACCCCAATTTTCTGCTACGGCAAAGCTTAGATGAGGTCAACGCTATACACGCTATACACTCCTGTCGCCAGATCGTAGAATGCGATAAGATGGTAGGATAGAGAGGTGAACAGGATAGGATAAGATAAGATAGGATAAGATGCATAGGAGAGGAAAGTATGGGATCGATAGGATGGGATCAATCCAACAAAAATAGCAGGTATTCGGTCTTGTCGAAAACCTAGTTTTTTTGTTACTACTTAGGTCTTCTACAACGCTACCCATCAAAAAAACTAAAACTACTCATCAACAACCTACTTCCCAGCTATATTAAGGTTAAGGTTAAGGTTGAGGGTCCACCGCTTCGCGGCCAAGCCGCACCTGCTAGGACAACGTAGGTTCGAGTAGCTATATTATCCAAATATCAAATTATTTCATGTTATTAAATATTGTTGAAAGGGCGAGATCTCTAGAGGTAAAAACTAACCGGTAAAGGTTCATGTTATTATATAATATTATTCAAATATGTACTGAGTTCTCGCGAAGCCTTAAGCTCGAATCGTCACCCATGAAGGACGTGATGCCACCCATGTCAACAACGTCGCCGACAACCGCCTCTTTCTGGGTCACTACAGGCCCAACATCTCCGAACGCAGGAACGAGAACATCGCTTCCTCGGTCTTGCGATAAATTGAAGCCGCCGCCTTGGGACACTCCTGTTGTTGTATTTATTTGTAATTGATGGATGGATGGATTGATGGATTGATGGATGGATTGATGAGTTGATTGATTGATGGATTGATGGATGGATGGATTGATGGATTGATGGATGGATTGATGAGTTGATTGATTGATTGATTGACTGATAGATTGATTAAGTGATTGATTAATGTGTCTCAGTCAATAAGTTGTAAGCTGTTAACTAGGGCTTTTCTTTGGCTACCCAGGAGTCCAAGAACGGGTTTTGTGGTCCTCTATCATCCATCAACATGGCGTTTTTAGAAGTAGCACATATTGATATTCACAGGAGTTCCAAACTGGACAAAAATAATTCTTGAGGTCGTTATTATGGACTTCTAATGTCTCTAAGATTGTTGTGATTATATAATGGACTTCTAACCTAAAAATTTGAAGGAACAAAATTTTAGTGTGACGTTGTAGCAAGATTGAAACATTCGAAACCACAAAGTAGGCTTCTGATGTATCTAAGAATGAAATATCCGAAAAAACGCTATGTCACTTAGATGAGCCTGAACTCTAACCCTTTGCTCAAGACCTAGACCAAAACAATAATGGATAGTACTTTGTTT